CCGGATGAAGAAGGAGGATGTACCCAAGACGGCCTTTAGAACTCATGAAGGACATTATGAGTTCCTGGTGATGCCATTTGGCCTCACTAATGCTCCGACTACGTTCCAGGCCCTTATGAATAAGGTTTTCAAACATTATCTTAGACAATTTGTATTGGTATTCTTTGACAACATCCTGGTCTATAGCAGGACAGAGGAGGAGCACTGTGAGCATTTGAAAAGGTGCTAGAGGTACTACAGGAGCAGCAGCTGAGGGCTAATTTGAAGAAATACTGTTTTGCACAAGCCATTTTATAGTACTTGGGTCATGTGGTATCAAAAGAATGGGTGGCAGCATATCAGTCCAAAATTGAGGCAATGCTAAAGTGGCCAGTGCCGAAAAATCTAAAGAAGCTGAGGGGATTTCTTGGACTAACAAGTTACACAGGAGGTTCGTTAAGTGGTACAGCTCCATAGCATGGCCACTCACTAAGCAGTTGAAGAAGGACGGGTTCTTATGGGGGGAGGTGGCGACATCAGCATTTAAGAGCTTGAAAAATGCGATGACTACGGTGCCGATCCTAGCTTTGCCAGATTTCACTCAGACCTTCATTGTGGAGACAGATGCGTTCGAATACGGGCTGGGTGCAGTGCTTATGCAGAATCGTAGGCCTATTGCCTATTTCAGCCAGGTATTGACTGCTAGAGCCCGGCTGAAATCAGTTTATGAGAGAGAATTAATGTTCATTGTTTTGGCCATCCAGAAGTGGCGGCCCTATCTACTTGGGAGGCATTTCTTTGTCAGGACCGATCAGCGAAGATTGAAATACATGCTGTAACAGCGGATGGTGACAAAGGAACATCAAAGGTGGTTGTCCAAGTTGCTAGGGTACGATTTTGAGATTCAATATAGACTAGGGGTGGAGAACAAGGCGGCAGATGCTTTATCCAGATGTATGGGGGAGCTACAGACAGTGGCACTATCTATTCCTTTGATGCTTGACTGGGAGGCCATCAGAGAAGAAAGTGCTAAAGATGAAGATTTGGTAAGGATCAGGGCAGATTTACTGAAAGAGGGTAGCCACCCAGGGTACTCATTGGAGGGAGACAGACTGCTGTATCAAGGGAGATTTGTGATGCCCGTACCTCAATCCACATCCCAAATTTACTCGAGGAATTTCATGGAAGCGCAGTTGAGGGTCATTCAAGAGTACAGGAGACTAGCGGCCGAGCTTTACTGGAAGGGAATGCATAGAGATGTAGAGGAGATGATGGCGAGATGTGAAATCTGTCAGAGAAATAAATATCTAGCTATGTCACCAGGGGAACTACTACAACCGTTGGCGTTACCAGGTCGGGTATAGGAGGAGATATTTATGGACTTTATATATGGGTTGACCCGTTCAGAGGGGTTCACGGTGATCTTGGTGGTGGTCGACAGGTTGAGCAAGTATGCACATTTCATTCCCCTCCGACACCCCTACACAGTAGTGACAGTGGCTTCAGCCTTCATCAGGGAGGTGGTCAGGTTACATGGAGTACCCGAGGCGATCTTATCAGATAGAGACAAAGTATCCCTCAGTCATTTTTGGAAAGAGTTGTTTAGACTGCAAGGGACAATTCTGAAGAGTACAGCTTACCACCCACAGACAGATGGCCAGACGGAGCTAGTCAAAAGGAGCTTGGAGACGTACCTGAGATGATTTGTGTCAGAGACACCCAAACTATGGGCTAAATGGCTATCATGGGCGGAGTACTGGTACAACACATCTTTTCATTCTGCTTCACAGATGATCCCATTCAAAGTGTTGTACAGGCGGGATCCCCCACACTTGGTGCATTTTGAGAGCAGCAGTACTCCCGTGTCTTCAGTAAAGGAATACTTGGAGGAGAGGGATCGAGTGTTAGAGGAGTTAAAGAGGCATTTACTGAGAGTTCAGCAAATTATGAAGAAACAAGCGGATGGGCATAGGAAGGACATCCAGTTTGAAGTGGGGGAGAAGGTGTTTTGAAGCTCCGACCATATAGGCAGAAGACAATCGCTAACAGGAGGAATGAAAAGCTAACTCCAAGGTACTATGGGTCTTATGAAATGCTGGAGAAGATTGGGGCAATGGCATATCGACTGAAATTACCACCATCGGCGATGATACACCCAGTTTTTCATGTCTCGCAATTGAGGAAGGTCATTGGTGACTACACTGCCAACCCCGAGCTACCTGCGACACTCACTGAGGATTTAGGGTGGTTCTGGAACCCTTAGAGCTGATGGGATTTCGCCAGAAAGAAGACGGAACTAAGGAAGTGTTGATCTAGTGGAAGAACATACCTGATTATGAGACCACGTGGGAGCCATACAAGAGGACAAAACAGCAGTTCCCGGATTTTCACCTTGAGGACAAGGTGATTCATTGGGATGACAGTATTGTTAAGACGGTTCACATAGAGTTGGCCCAGCCGGCAAATGGGCCGGCTCAATTCCACTACAGGAGGCGGAACAAAGCAGCCCCCCTCTCTGGTTCCACCAAACAAATGGGGCCATCCCCTCTATGTGATTTTCAAAATTGAATAGAGGGGGGAGAGGCTAGGCGTTTAGGAGGGAAATCAGTTTAGGAATATTAGGGTATTAAAGTGCATGAGAAAATTATAGAGGGGGTATGTTTTGATTGATTGAGAATTAGGGTTTCTTGGTGCTTGGGTTCTAGACTCTCTTGTCTAGAGATTTGGGAGAAACGATCCTCCTCTCGAATTGGGGATCACTTGTATCTTGCTTTCGTGTGTGTTGTGCTTTGTTTCGTTTATTGCAATCTATCGTTTTGGGGCTGATTTTGCCAAGATTTTGCTATATTCCTGCAGTTTTCCTCCCATTAGTGATAGGTTTGCTTGCGTACTCAAGTATTCCCTTCGGGTTACTTGCGAACTCAAGTATTTCCTATCATCAGTATAAAACCAAATCAGCATAAGTTTATGTCAGTAAGGAAGATATAAATGAAATGTAGATCAAGAAATAGTGAATATAATAGATCAACTTGCTTATGATTCCAAATAGAGTTTATTCGTCAACAGCGAACTTGTTCTCATGCCCGCAAACCCCACGCAACATTCAGGTATGTAGAACTTGCTAAAGTACATGCCATTCAGGTTCTTCATTCTCATCCTTCCTCTTTCTTTCTCATCCTCTTATTTATGTGCAAACTATATTACTGTTTTATTATCGTATTCGGGCAGCAGATGGGGTATTTCAGAATAATCTCACTTCTGACATACTACATGTCAGCACATTTCTTGCATGTAGCACTAAAAGCCACCCACAGCTATCAACATGGTAATAAGCAGTTGCCAAATTGTGTTGCCTAGAGACTATTATCTGTAACATGCTTAATTTAAATAAGATCGTAAAATAAACTCCCCAATTCTCTGCTATGTTCCGAAATACCGATCTAGATCTAGAAGGCAACAGGAATTTGGAATAGCCTCCTAAATGTTTTGTCCAAAAAAGTTCATTGAATTAAGGCAGCAAATAAAAATGTGTAGCCCTGAAATCGTATTGCTGAAAATAAAAAACATAACTCAAAAACCAACAAGGAGAGGGTTGCTATGACCGTTTGCTGGAACCAGCAATAAGAGGCTGGCAAACCTCTTAACCTGAATACAAAAACACAAGGGAAAGCCCACCAACTGGTGGGGAAACATCAGGATACAGGAAAGAAACAAGAGCTGAGAGAAAACTCCTTTATTATTCACTACCCAATTTACAAGGCACCCATCCTATTTATACAATTGAAACAAACTATTAAAAAAACGAAATAAATAATAGGACTGACCCACCCCAAAACTTCTGCATTGCTGCTGATGGCCGAACCTTAGTGGTTCGGTGTTCGGCTGAAGCAGATGGGAGCCGGTACAATATGACCGGCGTCAAGCCCATTGCATAAAGCTCCACAAATGAGGACTAGGGATGAGAGATTTTGTAAAAGCAACAAATTTCAAACCAACTTTTAGAAACACCGATAGATTTTGTAGGAAAATGTCTATATGAACCACTAAGGACAACTCTCTGAACTCATTACAGCAAGCAAAAAGTGACTATTTTCAACTCAAAAAAGAAGATTGTGTAGAATGAATACTTAGGAATATTTTCAATAAAGCAATAAAGTTGCAAAGTTTTTATGGAACAGCGAGAGAAGCCTTCATAAAAGGATAGCCTTTAAATATATGAATTATCCAACTAATACTATCATATCAAACTATGCTTAACAAAATGTTTCAATAGCCTAATATTAAGCTAAACCTCTTGAGCTATATTAGACAATCAAATTTGAAAAATTCTTCCATAATGATTTTGGATCCACTGAGTAACAAAGAGCAAACGAGAGGAAAAAATTACTCCAAAACATCACATAATTTACTCAGTTTAAAATGACTTAAGGAACTTCAGAAGTATACGCCCCATCTAATGGTTAAGTTATATTATCTTGTTTGGCCTCGTTAGTTAAGGTAAATAGTGATATTAAGCTCTTAACACCCTGAAGCTAGATATGTCAACTAACCAAAAAGACAGATAGCAAATGATTGGTCACCAAAATAAAAAATTAAATTAAGCATATTACCTAGAATTGGGGAGATTCCATGGGCCACCATCAGAATTCAAGCTTATAAGAACAAGATTAATATTTTAATACTAAAGTCAAAAGGAATTTGAACTGTACATACAATAAAATTAGGCACAATGTTTAACTAAAATCTTCCAGTAAATTGTGGGATGATCTACCGTTCACTAATGAAAGGATATGGAAAAGCAAGTGAACAAAAAGGATATATTAGTAGGGCATAAATGATATATACATAAAGGGCATATACAAAAAGAAAAAGTTAAAAGCAAAATTGCAGAAAATATCAGAGGGCATTGACAGTTAAGCAAATTAAGAATCTTTATGAGAAAAAGACAGTTAATGAGAAAAATAGATAAACAAATCAAGCAATTCAAAAACTGAACAGCATAATCAAATGAGCAGACCTACTTTTGTGAATAACCTCTGCCATGAGGTACTTGATAGCCGCTTCATGGAAGTGACATTAGAAAATGGAACTTTTCCATGCGAGCACTGAATTGAACTATTGTCAATGGAGCTGTAACAATCAGTACAGCAGCTGTCAGCATGCATATTATAGCCAGAGAAATTTGTTTCAGCAATAAAAAGCAGGAGGGGAAGGGTTTCTGTATCATACAACAACAAGCCTTTATCTCACTACGTGGGGTCCTTTTTCTCCATTGTGTCCTATTAAAAGTCAAATTCTCGTTTAAATCTAATAAAGAAAGGTCATTCCTAATATTTTCTAACCAAGTCTTTTTGGGTCTACCTCTACCTTTCTTAATATAAGTCAAATCTAATACATCTACTCTCCGAACCGGGTCATCAGAAGGCCGCCGTTTTATGTGACCAAATCATCTAAGGCGACTCTCTCTAATCTTATCTTCTACTGGAGCTACTCCAACCTGTTCACGTATATGCTCAAACTAATCGGCTTGACCTTTAGATGATACAAAATATTTGATACTTGCTACCAGAGCTCCATAAATCATTATAATTAACAAGCGAACAATAGAAGGATTATTGACCTCCATTATGACTCTCGCTTTTGTTGATATCAAGAAAAGGAAAAAAAAATCCAATAGTAAGAACTGGATAAAAAGAGTTTGGATAGGATAATATGTAAACAATTTGAGGATAATACAAAAAGGCTATAAGCAGATGAATACATCAGTATTTAATATGATCAACATATGGTGTACCCATATATTCACAAATGCATTTTCTTTTTCCGAAGCAGCTGAGCTTTCTCTCTACAAGCAAGAGAAACGGGCATATTCCAACAACTTCAAATAGATTATAATCCCTAATTACAAAAAACATGCCATAATCACATGGAGTGGGGACTCCAAAATATAAAGAAAAAAGACTTACAAACCGAACAAGGAAACAATATAAATAATGATAAAATAATACCCCAAGCTCCCGGGAATTAAATAGATATGTATCCTACTAACATGGCTCACGTTCCAGTCATATTCATATAGATTGTATAATGTGCATATCCTACCTTTCCATTTCTGACCTAAATTGTATATAAACTATAAAGCAAGTCATTCAATTAGAATATACAATGTATCTACGTGAACTTGGATATCAAATGTATCGAAACCCATCAAGATATGAGTCAAGATATGAGTAAGTTGAATCCTTGAAAGTATTCAAGGTCCTCTTTTACTTTTTTTTCCCACGAAACTCTCAAAGTGGGAGTTTATTATAGTGTAGGCAAGGATCAAATACAAGACATTGGCAACAAGTTTCCAAGTCCTTACCAACCAAACTAATTGGCACCCACTACAAATCTTAGCAAAGGTATTTTATAATTGACATGATTATAAGAATATTTTTTATTTCTTTTCTACAAATTATGATTAGATGAACAATTCAATGTTGCTATACTTCAAACAATCATTGTGTAATAACTATAAAAGAAATAAGCTATTGGGTGGATTGGATCGTACTAGGCCATCTTGTGCCTTCTAAGATTGGGCCTTTCTCCCCGACCTTATCTAGGAGTGGTAGAGCATAGTTCTAGCAGTTATAAAACAGGTTAACCAAATCTAATCATCAAAAAGATGTAAGAATAAATGAACGAGAGATATCATGGTTGAGAGGGAGGAAGGGCAAATCATGGTTGCAGAAAAAACTTTAGAGGTAGATGGCTAGATGCAAACGCCAATTAAGATGATCGAGGATGGCTTAAACATTTAGCAACAATGGCTTTACTAATTCCTCTCCGTTTTCCTCTATCCAATAAAATAGAAGATTATGATAGAGTAGAATGGTACTTCTACAAGAAGTTTTGCTAGAATAAGGCATCTTTCACTTTAGCATACATCCACATATATATATATATCTTATTGATTAAATGTTAAGATGCATAACAACATGGTGGCTAAATTTTTTGGTTATTATTGTCAACCAAATTGTATACTTTTGGCACAACGCAAAGTCATTTTTAGCTCAAGTTTAACTGAAGGGTACATCATCGTCATCATTAGATTTATACCAGCAAATTTTCAAACAACTATATCATAAATAAGCATATAAAATAATGTTGTATTTCAACAGTAGGCAATTTTATTGTAAATGGATAATACTACGGAGGTTTAGTTAACCTGGCCCTCGTTTGTGGTTTATATTATTATGTATCACTATTGAAGGGTTAGTTGTTATGAGTAGCTCCTTTCATATTGTTTTTTCACTGAATAGGCTGGTTTCACGAAAATTTCAAGAGAAGAGCTATATTTTTTAGAATTGAATTACAATTTGATTAGAGCTAACCACAGTATCTTGTACCAACAATATCTACTAATCTGTCGCGGCTATAAAAATTTTATAAATAAGAGTCTAAGGCATCTAATTAAATAACTATTGATTCAATTAAATTTATGATTCTAGTTTCAATCGTGTGTGTATTAAGTGTATTATTCCTTCAACTGCAGTATAAGTACAACAATCCGATACAAAAGGAAATAATCTCCTTGTATCAGCATGAGGCCTAAATTTTCTCCACTTTAATTAGCTATTTTATTATATCTATTGTCTTCTAAATATATTAATTATTAATTCATTAGAGTTTCTTATTTTATTTAAATTTAAAACATCTGATATTTCATTTTAGTGAAAATTTTCAACTTGTTATTGATTTTTCGTGATTTGAATTTCTCGTAGGCATTTTCGAATTTAATCGAATATCACATATTATTGTTTAGCCTTAAATTCTTCTACTTTCTAATTTGCGCCTAAAGAAAGCAACTTTTTGTATATTTAATGGTATGTGATATATGAAAACTAATTTCTTATGAGATATAAATTCATTGAATCATCTTAATTGCAGCAACAAATCGTAAACCTACATTGTCCTTCATCAAAGTGGTAAAAGAGCTAATGATAACATCATCATGTCGAAAAAATGTAGACCATATTAACTGAGACGGTAAAATTTTTAAAAAATAATATAATTTAAAAATTATAGAATAAGCTGTGGCTTTAAACTAACACAATATAACCATCATGAGGTATAAATTTACATTCCTATATTTGAAGGGAGATATGATCTTAGAAAATTTTAAAGGCAGATTAATGATTTAGAATATTTTATTGGAAAATAAAAGTACTGTGATTTTCAAAGAGTAGAACTTGTCAAATCACTACTAGTAGAACATGCTCATTCATTTTGAAGAATTGTTACTATTAAATTGTTATGGATTTTGTCAATCACTAAATATAGCGATCAATTGCAAAAGCAACTTAAAGGATTATAAATAAAATAGACATGAGGAGTTTGAGTGTTATACAAGATTTATAGGTATTGTAGCTAAAAATTATTTATTGTTAAATTATTTTGTTAACATTATTTATTTTATTAAAGATCTAAAGTAAAAAAATTAAGGATGAACAATACTATAATTGAACAAAATTATTTTGTAAGGCTTTTCCCATAGCTTTAGATTATAAGGAATATTATTACTCTATTAAGGTTGTTGCACATATGCTTGCTCCTAAAAAAAACAACCAACTAACCAACTATTAAAAATACTTCGATGCAATGCTCATATATGATTCAATATGATACTATCGAAGAAACATAATTTTTATGAATATATGATGAAGGACGTTCAGATTCATAAAATATTTTGTAATTATAATATGAATCACATCTAATGATATGAATCTAAATATACACATATCTTAGATCTTCATCCTCAAAATTTATACTTGAACAAGAATCAAAATGGAGTTTGAAAGTAAAATTGAAGATGAAATCATAAAAACCAAACATAAATTTGGATTTATAATGGAGATTGGACATAAGTCACGATGCAAAATTGAACCAATCCTGTTTATTGTAGCTAAGGAAGCAACTAAGCAATTTGAAAACGTAACCTCTGATGATGAATTATTTATTGATATTATTCCAATAACGAATAATCAGATTAATGTTAATTTTTCTTTGGTTCTTGATTTAATGATATAGAGATTCATCAAACAAACCTCATGATGAGAACTAAGTGATGTCAATAATTCAAGAAATTTTTACTAGTAAATATCTTTAAAAAAGTAGAAATATAAAACTATGTTCATATGACCAATTCTAAAGATGCAAAATTCATTGATATTCATATATAAATAATATGGATTGGTTTTATATAAAAAGGTTCTCTCTCTCTAAACCTACTCTAAATTGATTGGATTCTTATTTCTTTCCACCTCCTACTACATTATCCTTCATCAAATACTATTATACAGTTTACTCCTGAAACTATTATAGATGATAAAATTGAACCAACTATTAATGGTGGATTTGAAAGACATCTTATGCATTTGAAAAACATTTTTTTATGATTCGTGGATTACCTTGCAAGAAATAAAATATTTTTCATATTTATTTGATGAATATTAAATACTAAATTTCTCATAATCATTTTTTTTCAAACCAGACAAAGTTATTTGGTATTGTACAAGTGTTATATAGCAGTTATTCTTGAAAAAATTTCCCATTATTGAATAGCACCGCCGTTTGTGGTTTCCATTATTTCGCTTAACTACTAAATAGATGGTTGTTACATGTTATTCATTGGGCATGGTTTCACAATAAGTTTAAAGTGATGGACTAGTTTCATGGGAAATTTCATATGAAGACCTATATTTTTAAAATTTATTAAAATTAAAAGGACTAATAATGGGGCAACCATATCTATTAATCTATAGATATAAAAAATCAATTAATAGAGATTGAGCTCTATAATTTAAAAAAAAATCAATCAATAAAATTTTTCCTTCCAATTTCAATCTTGTGTGCATGTTGGATATATGATTCCTTCAATAGTGATATAACTACAACTACTTAAACAAGGAGGTAGTCATTTACTTATACCGATGTGAGATATGTATTTTCTTCACTTTGGTGGATTCTTCCTTTCATCTCTTTCTTCAAAATATTTTTGTTATTACTTGTTAGAATTCTTGATTTTGTTCAAAATGTTACAAATAAAATTTTAATTGTAGTGAAAAGTTTTCAACCATTTGCAAATTTTTTGGTGGTCAAATTTATCTTTTATTTCCTTGAATTTAATAAATCATGGCATTATCACTTGGCTTCTAATTCTCGAATTATTGGTTTGTGCTTAAAGAAAGTTTATTATATCTAGTAATATGTGATATATGAATCATTTTATGTTGTGTTATCTACATTTATCATATCATCTTAATTGTACTAAAAAACCCTAATCCTAACCCAATGATTGAAAACTAAATAGATGAATTAATGCCATTTAAGTTACACATCAAGGATTTAACTAAATCATTTACCACACTTAAGTTATAATGCCATAATACCATAATTAATTACTATCCTTATGTCAATATTCGAATACTCATTCTTCACAATGACAAATTTATTCAGTAAACGCACAAAATGATAGAAAACTGAGGCAATTGAAAAACAATACGTACGGAGGACTTATAGTATCAGCCCACTGCCGAAGCCAATCAGTTGAAATCCAAAAAAAAGATTCATCAAGGGACTGAACAGAAGCTTCAGATAGAATCTGTTTTATTTCCTCCCGTCTTTCTGTTACATAGCACAGATGCCTATCCTTTTTTGATTGGTATTCTTCACAATCCTTGGAAGAAAATAAATTTAACTCTTGTATCTCTTTATGCAAATGAAATGGCAGAGAGATATTTCTCGTACCAACATCACTTTTAACTACCTCAACAGTTGTATGTTGTTTGGAATAATTTTCCTTCATACTAACAAAATTATACATCAGCATATAAGCATCTGAAGAAGAATATATATCCTGACTGTGAATAATAACTTTAAAGTCGCCATTGGCAACTGTTTCAGGCCAAATTGACTTGACCAATTGCTCAGTTTTCATAGATAAACTTGAAGAATTTTCTCCAAAGGGGTGAAAACCCAATTTAGATACATGCTCATCATCAAATTCCCACCAATGTCCGCACTTTTCATCCTTAATGTGGGCCACGTAATGCCCGCTATTAACAGCAGTGCCTTTGTGAATAAGTATAGCAGACAACTCATACACTAAACTGGTTTCAGTTGGATTACACAAATGCTTTCCCATGTTTACCATCCTAGGAAAACCAAATACAGAAGTAATTTTCTTCTTAGTTGTAGTCTGCAAATATTTGAAAAAACGAGTAAGAGACTATGGGATAAAGGCATAAAGCATAATCATGCAAGTACTGTAAAAAATATTGCTAAAAGAGAATATAACTTTGAATACCATGTATAAAAGCTTAAATTTAGCCTTCATTTGAGACGGCTTTCTTCCTGCTTCTTAAAATGGTCTTTTAGTACAAAAATTAAAATTTTTGAACTAGAAAACTGCTTTAAGAAGCAATAAGAAAGCCGTCCCAAACAAAGCCTTAGATAACAAATTGAGACAGACAATAAATTGCTTGGACATACCTTTGGCAGGAATACATATCGCTTTAGTTGCAAATTAAGGACAGAAGGAAGCGAGTGTAGTTTTATACATCTGGTCGCATCAACTCGCATGCCACATGATTCACAAAAATACTGATTTTCTCCACGCAGTTCTTCCAAGCTTAAATAATCATTAAGACTTTCATCTAGATTGTTCAAACCCTTGATATTCAGCTCAAGTTCATAAAAGTCCTCTATCTTTGAAGAAGCATCAGATTCTTTTCCACATATGGAGCACCTGCAAAAATCACCAGGCTTAGGTATGTGTATATGTTAATTTTCCAGTAATTTTTGGAAAGGCAACCAGCATAACATTTGAGACAGAAACAACATACAATATCTATGCACCATAAAAAATAAAAATAAAATAACTAACAACAACTATCAAGTGCATAACTATCCTAAATCAATAAGAGCATTAGGTTCTGTTGGAACAGGTCGAAGGATAGAGGAGAGGCCAAAAGAGTTGTGGAGAAAGGGAGTAGGAAAAAATTATAATAATATAAACAAGATCAATTGACGGGGATACAAAGCTAAAACTATGCTAAAACTGGACAAAATAATCTTTTGTAGTTAATAAAATCATTGGTTGAATCAAGTGCATCCACTGCAATACTGAAAATCTACAGCAAGGTTAGGGTGACAAAATTAAACAAAAAGATTTTAAAGAAGTGATGCGGGCAAAGAAATCCGGGGGATGGGGGACCCGAGGAACTCCGCCAGCAAGGGACCTAAATAGACGACGACACGCTCGAAAATGAATGGGGGGGAGTACATTTCAAATAAAACTAAGAAGAAGAAATTAAAAGACTACAAACAATGATTTAACAAACTCGAATCGAAATTAAAGACACCCTAAACTTGCTTCACTTATAGAAGAGGGATACAGGTGAGGTGTAAACTTGCGGAGAGACGAAAGAGATTAGAAGCCCGAGAAGAAGGGTGGAAAGAGCTCGCAAGATTTCCATAGGGGGTGAGAAGAAGGTGGACAAAGCTCGCAAGCTTTTCCAATAAACCCGCAGGTTTACTTTTCCAAAAATCACATATCATTCCTCTTTTTTTAACCATAACAAACCCCTCATATTTATAAGTATGAAAGGGGGAATACAAAAGGACACGACATTGAATTCCCACAAGAATCCAAGCAACACAAACCATGAAAAGCCCCTTGCTTTTCACAGAAAAACAGCCCAGCCCAGGAACCAAAGGAGCAACCACGGGAACCAAAGGGACCGCACGGAACCAAGGCGCCAAAAGCCACAGGAAGACCCCCCAGCTCGGAAAACCAGCAGCCACCGTGAGAACCAAGGAGCCATGCACGAAAAACAGCAGCCCACGGTGGAAGCCAAGGAGCCATGACATGAGAAAACAAAACATAGAGACAAACTTTAATTAAGACATAAAAATAATAAAAATTTCATTTAATTAAAAGATAACTATGAACTAAAACTTAGCTAATAATGAGCTAACCCTTAGTTCAATAAATGAACTAAAGACCAGCTCATAAATGAGTTAAATTCCAGCTCAAATTTGATTGAGCTTGTAGACTCAAGGGAAGCCAAAAATCAATTTATTTTGGGCTTGAGTTGACCCCTCCTTTGTCTACATCAAGAAGAGAGAATAATAAAGTGTCAAAACATTCCTAAGTATAAAACTGGCATTGCTGCTAATTCTGCACTAAGTATGAAAGGCTGGCGTAGAAAATAGGCACTCATAAAATTGACCCCTAACAGTTAAAATAGGGCTAATGATGATGACAATGCCAACTAGAATTCACAATCTACAGAATCTGGTTGTTAAAAATCATAAGGGAAAATTAAGGCTTCATTTGGGACGGCTTTTTTACTGGTTATTAAAGCAGCTTTCTAACATAAAAATTAAAAAAATTGTATTAAAAAGCTGCTTTAAGAAGCAGCAAGATAGCCGTCCCAAACGAAGCCTAAATCAGTAACAATAAGAAATGGTAATAGGTTTCTAAGTACATGAACTGAAAATCTTATAGCCAAATTCCATACCTAGTAACATGAGACACACTCCCTCGAAATAAATCCTGCACAATAGTTCTAACATTTGGAAACTTGGAATGGCTTAAGGAACGCTCTAGCAAAGAAAGAAATAAAGTAAGGAATTCATGGCTATCCTGCTGAACACCATTATCAAGCTCTAGCGTCTTGATAAAAGGAGCTGAATCAATACAAGCTAATTTGCTTGAGTGCAACTTTGCAAAGAGGCGAGCAAGTTGATCCAAAACAGGATGCTGATTCAAAAGGTCAGGTTCAACTGAGAAAATGCCTTCCCGGAATGCTGAGTTCATAAAAAGGCATTGAAGAATGCTGTTGGCATAGCAGGTAGCTCCAAGATTAGTTAATCCAGCAGGTATTTCTATTGATGTGCGGAGATCTTTATATGGGTTAGGACCGAGAGATTGAATAATATCTGGGATCCTCTGCCACAAGCCACTTTTCCTATTTCTGTTAGGTGGTGGAATTAACCCACAGAAGCAATTTGGTGAATCCTTAGAATTGCCATGGCATTCCCGGCAGAGAGGCTTCCAAATTAGATATAGTTGGCATATATCATTATGCGAAACCTCACCAGTTAAGTGAACTTTTCTGTCAAAAAGAAATTTTAAAATTAGTAAATCAAACGATTCAAAGAAAAGAAATATGCATTAACATTAAAAGGAAAGCACCAAACCTCAGAATCTCAGAAGAAGAATAATCACTATCATCATTTCGTTGCCTTTTATTTTTGTTGCGAGTGCAAGGCCGGTTCATCGTGCTCTATAAATTTAACAACCTATAACATGAAGGTAACTAAACATCTAAACAGAAACAAGATAACTAGCACAACATTTAAATTGAATGCTCTAGCATAACATTTGGCAGATGTAAACCAATAGAGCGACCATGGACAAAAATCAGCATTTTAAAACACCCTGAAAGAAAAACATAATGCCATCATTTTCCAGATGCTGAAGTGAGGTATGCCATATAAAATGAAAAAAGAAAAAAAAAATTGTGATCCATTGTTGGAAGTCATGAATATCGAATGAAGCAATAATAGGGTAAAGATAGCGAACAAGTCCAAATCCATTTCTTCTTTTCTGCCTTCCTCTGCCAAGGTGGAAAGGTATGAAGCACAACATTCTGAAATGGCTAGCAAATTGTACCGAGCACAACAATGAATTTTTAAACATTTTTTTGGATCATTTGGACAAAGCCCAGTCACCTTTTGGACAAAAAGTATCATAACCCAAATGGATCTCATTTTTGTTTGACTACTCTAGATGTCCCTTCATATAAGTTTTACTGAGTACCTTTGTAACTTGATAATCCTAAATTTTGAGCTTGTCAATATGGCCATCTACAGTGTTTTCATTTTGTATTGCATTAGATCTATTGCTACCCAAACATTGAAATACAAATGCCTCACATGCAAACATGAGCCAAAACAATCTCAATTTGGATTTTTGAACATAATATGCACTCTCTCTTCTTATTAGTTTTTTTAATGCCTTTACAACTTGGCATACCTAAGTTTTCTTCTTCTCAATATGGGCACAATTAGAATTTTTCAGTTATATTCCATCATTTTAACTACAGAAAGAAATTCATAAATGGACAACATACATGCCAGAACTTACATACTCACATCATAAGTTCTAGGCATGCCATGCATCATGTCCAATGATTTTTGAAACCAGCCTAATTGCCAAATGTGTGCCATTTACGTTTCCCATGTCCGTAATTGGGCTTCATAAGCAAAAAAGCAAGTTACCGAACTTGCAACAATTTTAAAGAGCACATTGCTTAAAATTTAATTTTATTTAAAAGCTAATCAAGCACCTTACTGTTTTTTCAGAGTTGATTTCGCCATTAACTTCAATGATTACTAAAGGAAATTAAAAAACTACACCCAAACTGGATATCTTTTCCAAAGTTGTTCCTAGAAAACTAACTCTAACATGAGTTCCCTATGAAGGAAACTGACAATTTCGAGGTAGTAAATATGTTGTGGTTTATTAGTAAGCTTAAGTATAGGGACAACACAGTAAAGCACATCGCATAAGTTATCTCTTTACACTCCCCAATTACATTATATCCTCAACGTTTTAGCAAACACACGCAGATAGCAAAAGTGTATCTCAGTCAAAAACTTCAAAAGAGTTTAGAAGGCAACCATCTTCCTTATCGAAAGGGAGTTGCAATGTTAGTTGAATAAAAGTGATTTCTCAAGTTAAAAACAAGAGGGTGAATGGCTCAGCTAAAAGCTTCCTCGAGATAACATGTGTAGCAACTGCAACTGAGAAAAAAGAAATCCATAAAAATAAGGGAATCAAAGCATAAGGGAAAATATAACTTCTTTAATGTTTTCCCAACTCAATACAATTGATATAGAAAATGCACATAACGAAATCTACTATTCGTGGTCTACACAACCAAAGAAAATGGCTTAATACCCGTCTCCATTGCCTGCTGCAGGAGAAACAAACGCCCAAACAAAATGGCAATTGAAACAACTAAATAATTAAAAATAGGTTTCTCCCAATTTTAACCAATGTTCACAAAATCAGGCGAGTTGATGAATGATTCCCAAAATTCAGCATTAAAAAGTGGACCTTGTTTGTCCGATGTAAAAAATAAATAAATCTTTCTTCAAAAATCAACAGCATTTCCCCCTCCTGAGCCGCAACAACATTAAATAGATTATCGCATGGTGAGAGCTTGGACCTCTTTAAAACCTAATTAAAAGGGGAAGTAAGTACAGAGACAAAGCCTCCATGTATCCCCCAAATCGTCGTAAACCCTATAACACCCTAAAAAATAAAAAATAAAAACTCCGACTCCAAAATCTTTCATGGAAGAAAAAGATATTCCCTATATTCAAAAAATTAACTGATCCAAGTTGAGGAACTGAAACTACATAAACTCATCTTCGAAAGATGTGTCTGGGAAAATATAAGAAAATTGGTTTTTTTTTTTTTTCCTCAAAAAGAAGGTGCAAAATCGGCGACTAGGTGCGGACGAATGGGATAAAAGAGCGAACCAGTTAGTGAGAACAGTAAAAGCCAAGCCAAGAGGGGAACCCTCTATCATTCTCTACCGCCGCTCGGGAGGCAGCAATGGAAGAGAACCTTGTAACACGCGAGAGGAGAAATAGAATGATTCGCCGAGTTCCTGCCCCAGTGAGAATGGAAGGGCCAAGCTCCTTCTCCAATGGGAAGGGAAGGACACCTACTAATTCCTAAAAGGGAAATATAGAAAGCATGCACGCGGGAGAGAGGAGCGGGAAGAGGGGAGTGAGGACAAGGGCAAATCGGGTTATAGCAACCGGCGAGTTATGCCACTCTCCTCGTCGCCACGAGGGAGGGACGGGCTGGGCTGGGTTGTAGCCAGTCAAATAGTGCGAAGCTTAGTAAAATAATGGAAATTTGATGACTTTAAATAGAATTAATTTGACAAATATATTTATTATTCATTTAATAATATATCCAAAAAACATTATTTTGGATCATATTATCTAAATAAATTAAATACTTACTAAAGCCTATCATGAATAAAATTGATTCAAACTTATTTATATTTGAATTTTATTCAAATTAGATTAGAATTATGTTCCAATGAATTTAAAACAAGTATAATTTGAATAAGATTTTAAATATAGTTTTAACTTAATTCAAACTTTCCTTCACATGTTACAGTCCTATGATCTTCTTTAACAATTTTATTTCATACTAGTTATGTCACCCAAAAATGAGCATGATCGGGCACGAATCTTGATGTGTATCTTGAATTGGAAACTTTCGAAATTTAATTTGGGATTGTTTTGACTCCGACTTCTGTAAACTAAAAATCTCAATGAGACGAACCCAACGACACTAAAAACAATCCAATCCGGACTCTATTGAGCCTAAATAATTGACCCAAAGCATAGTTGAAAACTTCAAAACATAAATTAGATGATCAAATAATCTTCGAATATGGCATGCTTATAATTGAACAAAGTGGCTTGACGTGATGAATCCACCAAGCCCAAAGATCACTTAATTTCGATAACATTTAGGAACCTATATGATGAAAAAGTGATCTATAATCGGGGGAATCAATACGAGTCGTCCAATAAAATGTTCTAAATTTGCTACGAATTGTCCAACATTTATGGTGCATGCACACCCAAAAACTATAAATAGGTTGCACTTCCTACATAAAGGGAAACTTATATCTAGAGATTGAAGAGAGCTTTGACGCTTCAAGTGTCTGAGAGTTCCACCCGAGCACCACCGCCAGTGAGCCTTCATTAATTAATCACCATCACCGAACTTTCACTAAACCCACCGTCGTCAGACCTTCGCCTAAATGCTAATCATCTGACCTCTGCCCAACCACTATCGTTGAACTTTCATCAAACAAATGTTGTTGGATCTTTATATGATTGGAGAAGGAGAGCATTGTGGTATAATCTAGCCAGCCAGCCAAGGCTGAATTAGCCCTTGAGTTAGGTAGAACTCTCCGCAAAACCAAGGGGGATTTATGCCACCCTTATGGGCCCCAACAAGGCTATATATCATTATGAAAGAAGGATGAATTAAGGTCATTGAATGATCATTTGGAACCTTAAGGGGTTAGATGGTCAACATGAGTTGACTTGGTCAACTATGCATGAGCAATGCTTCAATTTGAGTCCAATGCATTCCTAAAGGTGTTTAGGATGCATCAGAAGAGGCTCCATGTCTTTGTGTGGATTGGCCAAATTGAAGTTTAGAGAAAACTTCAATTTTGTCCCTGAATGGTATTTTGATCATTTGGGCCCCTGGTCAACTTTATGTCAACCTAAGCTAACCAAAGTGTATTTTTGTGTTTGACATGTCATAACAAGGGTTATAGACATGGTCAAGGGTTTTGGGGAAGGTCCCAAGGTTAAATTCCATAAGGTGAAAGGTATAGTGGCATAAGCTGTAAATATCTAAAAATTTTGTAGCCTTTGAATTTCAATCAAGTTTTTATGGTTAGAGGTTTCAGATTGGCATCATATTTGGAGGATTGGCCCTTGGGACATGCCTACTTGCCTAGTCAATATTCAATTGATAGATCATGAATTGGGGGTAATATGATTGGATTTTGAGGTTATTAAAAAATAACCCAAAAAAGGTTATAGGACATGGGCCAATCCACACCATGAATTTTGGTACGAAATTTTGGATTTGAACTAGATTCTAGATTTGATTCATTGAATTTAAATTTTGTCAAACTCTTGAAAAGAATGAGGTCAAAAGGAATAGGCAATGACTATAGAAGACAACATGGTCGTTGATGCTCTACTTTTGCCAACTGGCATGCCTCACACTTTGAAGCAAACTCTATTGCATCCTTCTTCAATCTATGCCACCATAAAATACCTTTTAGATCATCTCATATCTTGCTTCTTCCTATGTGAATAGTGTGCCTTGTATAGAATCTCAGTTCTCAAACCATTGATGGAAGGAGCCCATAATCTATCCTTGCAAAAAATAGTACCATAATAAGATAATGAAAGTTCAAGTCTCTTGCCAAACTTAATCTAACCAATCAGTTTCAAATACTTTGTATTTAACTTTTGAGCTTCTTTAGTTTTTTCTTAAATAGTAGGTTGAATAATCATTTGAGCCACCTAATTTGAATCTGTATCAACATATACCACCACTATCTCCAGCTTCTCCAAATCTCAAACCAAAAAGTCTACAGAGATAATCGATCAAATAGAAGTACCTTAAGATTTTGTATTCAAAGCAACTACGACTATATTTGTCTTATAATGCTAACATTGAATAGATAAATCATAATCCTTAGTTAGCTCAATCCATCACCTCTGTCTCAAATTCAAGCCCTTCTAAGTAAAAATATATTTTAAACTCTGATGATCAATGATGATTTTGTATCTGATTCTATATAAATAATGCTTCCATATTTTTAAAGCAAATATAACAATAACAAATTATAGATTATAGGTTGGTTACTTCTTCTCATGTGGTTTCAACTGTCAAGATATACGCGCAATAATGTATTACTTTAGTACGCATCCTAATATTTTTAGTGAAGCATCGCTAAAAACTAAAACCCATCTATACTTGAAGGAATAGTTAGAATAATAGTAAAAGTCTAATGATTATTCAACATCTGAGGATTCCCTTCACACTGTAGAATTCATATGAATACTATTGACTTCTAAGTCAATCTCATCCTTGGTGAAGAAATCTAAGAAATTTTCAAAATAAAATTTTTTATAGATACCAGTTAAGCCTAATAAACTATACAATATAAGGTGCCATCCTTAATGGTAGCTTATTTTAATAGTTATCTTATTCATGTCTATATAGTTAATACATACCTATAAGGTGCCATCCTTCTTTAAAAATTAAATAGGTGCTCTTCATGGAAACACAATATTGGGATAGATGAAAACATTTGTCCACTAACTCCTGAAGTTGTGCCTTCAACTCCTAAAGTTTTTTAGGTGGCATCTTATATGAAGCCTTAGAGATCGGAGCAATGCCCTATATATATATATATATATCCTCCCTGTTCGAAGGCAAAGTCACTAACTCCTTAGGAAAAACATCTAGATTCTCCTAAACTATAGGAAATTACTCACGGATACAAGAGATAACCTCACCCTGATAGACGCTAAAAATATCAGACTATCTTTTCTCCAAAATATGTATGCCTCAAGAACTGAAATCAAACAACTAATATAACTCTCCTCTCAGCGGGGACATTGCATCCCATCCAGAGTTCTCTATTATCAAAATCAATTATCAACTGCTTTAGGCTCAATGACACCTAGAAGTCTTTGAAGCTTAACCTTATAAAAATCTCCAAGCACATGCCTAAATCATCAGTTGGATTCCAGAAATCCACGTATGAGCCTCACCTATTAGGGGTGTTACCATACATACAATCTAAGAAATAACCTCAGAAGTGATCACATGAGTTGTACCCTAACTTGAACTACATGATTAAAGCTCTGACTATTGGTCATATATAAATATGGCTAATCCTTCTCAAAGACAATGAATACATTTACATATGACACAAAAATATAAATTTAAATAAAATCAATACCCAATACTACCCATAATCATCTCACTTCTTTATAGATTAAATCTTATGGCTCTATTATAATTTATTTCCTTAATTGATGCTCTGATACCAACAAGTTTATCAAGACCCGACCCGACATGTCCCAACCACCACACAGGTCATACCATATTCAATTGTGGCAAGAAACATAGACTATCCTTAAGATTAAGTTGGAGAAATGCTGTTAAATTGAAAAATCCAAATCATGTACAACACAGAGTCATTACTAAATATAAATATAAAGTAGAATACTATTTAATCTCATAATTTCTTTTTTCTATATATCGTCCAATAAATACAAATATAATATGAGATCTATCTATAACAACACTTGACAATAAGAAAGTACAATAAAATAAAACTCAATCCTGCCAAAAAGAAAGTAACCAAAATGCATATCTACATTACAAATTAGAGCATAATATAAAAAATTATCAGCTCGCTCTTTTCCCTTTCTCTAACCTAAAAATGAAAGCAAAAGTAGGAGTAATTAAGCTAAAAATAGCTTAGTAGGCTACAATGGCCTAAACCTGGAATGATTAACTCAAATTAAAAGAGCATGAAATGCTAAATAATAATAATAACTAAAATAAAATAGAGAAAACTAAAATGGCCTAAAACTTTTTTCTGATTGGCAAGATTTAGGCTAAGATTTTGTTTGGGACAGCTTTATTATTGCTTCTTATAATAGCGTTTTAATATAAAAATTAATTTTTTTTATTAAAAAGTTGCTTTAAAAAACAGTAAGAAAGTCATCCCAAACAAAATCTAAATCTTACATTCAAAGAATCCTTTAAAGTTGTCATTATTTCCCTTTAGCAGGATTTAGGCTAAATCCTACTAGAATCCTTCTTAAATCCTGCATCCAAATAGCTCCTAGAAATTTCATTTAGTGATTCCAACATGACCTTAGTAGAGATCCTTTACAGGATAAATTTTATACAAATAGTTAGTCATGTGAAGCCTTGCCCGTTATTCATTTCAACTACAAAGAGTGGCATTCGAGCTTTAATATTTTCATTAAGCATTGCTAATTTTTATTTACAGCTGGAGTTCTTAATTCCTATGCATGTTTAGTTATAATTTTGTCTTTATTTGTAATTATCCACCATAATAAATGAATTAGTTTGCTCTCAATTTATCTATACTATACTACAACTATAAATGGCACTTGTGATTCTTCCTTAACTGAATCCTAGCCATTAAAATGACAACTACTATTCTTCTAAAACTAAATCCTAACCATACATCTAACATTATAGGATTTGGCAACCGTTCATTTTC